TACAGGAAAAGGATCTTTCATTCTTCCTTTCTATCATAATTGTTATTTCTCTTCTCACTTCTTAATCTGGCCACTAATATATTCAATCTATATAACTGAAAGAAGTACTACTGTAAAAACATAAATCTTTCCACTTTCCAGGGCCTTCCTACATCTTCAAAATTTATTCATTGCATAATCCAATATACACCACAATGCATATTATAGTTAAATAACTATGAAGTTAAATGTTTTACTGAAGTTCATGTTGCCAAGTTTCTTGCTTTCAACAACCAACAGTTTGGCTTGCTTAAGTAATGGAAATGGGATTTCTGAAACTAGATACAAGCTTTGGACAGACTGATCAATCGAACAATACAGAACATCTATAAATATACATAACATATAATAATCAATATGGGATAAAAAATAGCATCTCAATCAGTAGGAAGAAAAGACTGCTCCCTCAATAAATATAGTGAGACATGGGGTAATCATGGGTAAAAAGTTAAGTTTGGATCTGTACCTCATACTATACTCTAATAAATTTCAGATAGATTGTTGTTTCACAATGTAAAAGTAAAGTAGCAATAATAGTAGTAGTAATAATTGTATTAAGAAAAATAATAGGAATATTTTTATCTCAGTGAAGGGCCACAACAAAGGTTTAGACTGGACATCTCTCCACTGAAGACATATAAATAGCCAATAAAAGAAGAAAAGATGATGACATCATGAATCATTACAGAAATGCAAATCAAAACTGCAATGAGATAAAAACTTTACACTCACTGGGATGACTATAATCCAAAATATACATTAAAAAAATTGAAAACATATGTCCACATAAAAACTTGCATTAACGGCATTACTCATAATAGACAAAAAGTAGTAGAAATAACTCAATATCCATCAGTTGATGAATGGATAAACAAGTTGTCATATACCCATGTAATGAAATATTATTCAGTCATAAAAGTAAATTACTTATTCATGCTACAAGATGGATGAATCTTGAAAACATGGTACATGAAAGAAGCCAGACACAAAAGGCTATGTATTGTATGATTCCACTTTTTTATGAAATGTCCAGAATAGGCAAAGCCACAGAGATATAAAGTAGATTAGTGGTTGTCAGGAAGCTGAGGGCAGAAGAGAATGGGAAGTGACTGTTAACAAGAACAGAGTTTCTTTTGGGGGTGATGGAAAGGTTCTGGAATTAAATAGAGGTGATGGTTTCACAGATTCATAAATATACTGAACCACTGAACTGTATACTTTAAAAGTGTGAATTTTTTCTCCCTAAAAAAATAGTCATAAAAAGAATTTTCACCACAGTAAAAAACATGCAAAAATAGTAACAAACTGGGGAAACGCATTTGCAATCTGAGGTAAGTAGATGTCTAAAATGATCCCACTTTCTGGCATACTCACTTGTGTGATGTTTAAGTGTGAACAGGTCCCGTGACTATGATGGGATATAACTCCTATAGTTAGGTTACATTATATGACAAAAGTGAGGTGACTGTGTAGATATAATTAAAGTCCCTACTCAGGTGATTTTAAGTTACAAGGGAAACTATCATAGGTAAGCCTGATTGAGCAGGTTAGCCCTTTAAAAGGGAGTTTATAGAGGACAGAGACAGAAGTCCAGAAGACTCAAAGCAGCATAGATATTCCACTGCTGGATTTGAAGAGAAGAAAAAAAACTGTCATGCTGTGTGGAGGGACATTTGAACTGAGGGCTTGAGTCATATAACTGCAAGACACTGAATTTTGCCAACCATCAGTGAGCTTGGAAAAGAACCCCCAGCATCAAATGATATCACAGCTCCAGGCAACACCTTGATTTCAGCCTAGTGAGATTCCAAGCCAAGGATTCAGCTAACTTGCAGCCTGATCTTGACCCATGGAATCTGTGAGATAATAAATGTACGTTGTTTTAAACCAGTAGATTTGTGGTAATTACAGCAATAGAAAGCTAATACACAATCCATTCCACAAAAGGTTATTTTCCATAATATAAATGAAGATGCTAAGTATCCATTTAGATGAAGACTAACAACTCAATAGAAAAATGGGCAAGATATACAAAGAGAAAGTTCAAAAAGAAAAAAAGAAATATTAATATAAATGTTCTTAGACATATACAAAAATGCTCAACTTGACTCATCTAAACATGAGAAAGATTAAAAGTATAATGCAGTATTGTTTTTCACCAGATTGGTAAAGATCAAAAGTGTTATTGTTGTACACTTAGTGGAACCAATAGTGGTACATCCTCTATTGTAAGCAATGTGGCAATGTCTATAAAAAATTAAAACTGCACATACTCTGACCAAATGATCTACTTCTGGGAATTTTAGCTTATCTTATAGATTTGACCTTATACAAAATTATAAGTATATACTCTTACATAAAATTATACATATATACATGCAGTTGTATATATGCGTATATAAAGGTATAAGTACATGCATATACACATGAGATTATTTATTACAATAGTGTTTGTAATAGCAAAAAAAAATTGGCAATAACCTAGTGTATATCATTAGGGACTAAATAATTTTGACACATCCATTAAAAATAGTGATGGCCCTGGCCAGTATGGCTTGGTTGGTTGGAGCATCATCCCATAAACTGAAAGGTCGCACGTCCCATTCTCGGTCAGGGCACATGCCTGGGTTAGGGTTCAGTCCCAGTCGGTGTGCATGAGAGATGCAACCAACTGATGTTTCTCTCCCTCTCTTCCCCTCTCTCTAAAATCAATGAGCATGTCCTTAAGTGAAGATAAAGAAAATAAAAATAAAATAATGATGAAGCAAACTTTTTATGTACTGGTAAAGAAAGATCTCCAACGTATGTTAGTAAATGAAAAAAGAAAAATAGAATACTATATATATGCTATTATTTTAAAGGAATAAATATATATGTTACATTTCTATTTTGCAGAAAATATCTATAAAATTCACACAAGCAAAAGTAGCAACAGTAATTGCAGAAGTCAATTACTAGGGTATGGAATGGCTAGGGTATGGAATAGTTATATAGAATAAGGGAATAATACACAGAAGAAAAATACTTCTTGAAGCATAAGAAAATCCTTTTCTATGAGCTCAGGTTTAAAATCTACTCCAAAAACAAGATTCAAAAGATGATGGATATCAAAAAATAGGGGTATTTATGGAACAACTTCTTAAACCATGTTTGAATATGCATAGTGATTTTTCAAGTAGCTATCAAAGCCATCTCTATAGCAATAAGAAGTCATTTTGAACAAAATAACTTTTCACATGCTAATAAAGGAGAAATTAATTTAATCAAACTTTCTTAAAGTATGTACTTTTCATATGTTATTTCACTTTTTAACTTCTAACCTATAAAAAAGAGTTAAGGAACTTTTTTTAAACTGTCAAAGTTGTGGTAAGCTTTAATATCACAAAAGAAATAATACTTCAGAATTATGTGCTATGAATGAGTTCAGAAGTTGATACCTATGCCTCTGTACCCAGTTTAGGAGGCATGGAACAAAATTCTATTTATATCCTTTTTTAGAAAGGGTGATTTTTTTTTATGGTCTGCCAGCAAGATCAATCTTGATATTCAGTGTCAGTACAAAAAGCATATAGTCCATCCTAAAATACTTTTATATATATGCCAGAACAGGCCAAGACTAGTAACAACAGACAGTTATGGATAAATACCCCAGCCTCCTAGCTGATCATGTGGAATAACTGAGGTCATGATATCCTGTGTCTCCTAGAAGTCCCAGTAAGATTGACACACAATTGCCAAAAGAGGTAAACTGCTCTGGAATGCATCCAGTATTGTGTTTCTCCTAACTGGGTAGTTTTCCACTCCTCTACAGGTGGTTTCTGGGCTTGTCACCCAAATAAACTATCTACCCTCAAACCTCTGTGGGCTTAAGTTCTCAACCTAAGATGATCTTCCTACCTTAAAATTATTGAGTTTCTGAGATTCTGCACTGAGATGCGTTCATAGTATTCCAGTCATGAAATCATCATGGTTTTACCCAAAGACAGAATTATATTGTCTGCTTCACTTTTGCTAGTTTTCAAACAAACAAACAACAACAACAAAAAGAAACTGACGTGACCATCACTTTATTATTCTCCTAAGACATTAGCAACGTCATAAAGACATCTTTATGATGGTTTTAGGTACCATCGTTACTGATTACCAGTTATCTTACCTGTCATAATTGACTGCTCAGAACCTACCACCCTATGAGTACAATTTAGATTTGTTTTTCCACAAATGCATGACTTTATACTTGCTCACACAGAAACGTTATCTGCCTCTGCTGGACAATACATATAGTATAAACCAGACTTTCCTTAAAATTGTTAATTCTAAAGAGAAATATGGAACAGAAAAATAATCTTCCCTTGAAAATTTTTCATGCTCTTCCTTTCAAAGGTAGAAATATAAGAACCATAAATACTATTTTTTAAAAATCTAACAATTTTAACGTGAAGAAGGCCATAAAACTGAACCAAAAGAGTGGTAATAGAGTTAGCCCGTGGATACATCAAACTCATTAAACCTTTTTATCTTATTTAACTGCTTGTAAAACCACTTCATCCTTCAACTTAGAGCAGAATCTTTAGAAACATTGTTAACCTTCCCCATTCTCTTAGCTCCCACTCCCAGTTAGTCCTATCAATCCAACCTCTCTAACATGTCTTCTGACCCTCTCTTCTTCAATCACGTTGCCCCTTTCTTCCATATGGCAACAACCTCCTATCTAAGTTCCCTGTTCTATCTCACTTCTTTACTCTGGAAAATCTGATAACCTGAAACTGCCTCATCAAATCTAAGATTGACCAAACCTATAATAGCTCAAGTCCTAAACATCACTTTCAGCATTTATATAAAACATGGACACTTATATTACACTTAGACAACTCGTTGCCTAAACATTTCATGTATTTTTATTTCTGTTTGGAATGAAGATTAAAAATAATGTTTACCTAAAGATTAAGCAAAATGTTTACCTGTCTGAAGCTATGTCACTGGCAATTTGGTGCTTCACTCCTGACCCATTTTTAATAGAATCCTGTCTTGTGAGCCCATGAGATCGACTTTTCTCCACTGCAGGTACAGATAAGTCACCTGAGGGTCCTTGGAACTGGGCCTGCTCATGCAGTTTTGCTTTCTTCTCCTGAGGCGCCTCCTCATTCCGCAGTCCTCGGAGAGCCTTCTGATCAGGCTGCTGTGGTGTATTAGATCCACTATTATAAAACCATGCTCCTGATTTAGTGAGGATTTCTTGTTGTTTTCGGCACAAATTACATACCCACATAACCTGCACATGAATACATAGGAAAAAGAAATTAGTGTTTCCAAAAGTTAAAAACAAACAAACAGAGTCAATTCAACAACAACAACAAAAAAATGGTTATTCTTTCTGAAGTAAAAATGTAATTCAGATGAACAACTACCATTAACTAAATCGTGTCCTTTATTTAATTTTGCCAGAATAATTATAATAAAATAGACAATGTTTACTGGTTGTAGAAAAAAACCAAATCATTCGTTGTTTATATGTATTCTTTAATTATTTTTTATTTAAATTAAGAGCATGGTGTAGTTTTCAGAAAATGGATTTTGGGGCTAGACAGACTTGGGTCTAAATACCAACTCCAAGATTAGAAACTGCAACCTTCAACAAGGTACTATAGATATGAATATTCAGTAGTTCCCTAAATGATAAAATAGGGAAATAGGGATGATAATACTAACTTTCCTGCATTGTTTTGATGACAGAAGTTAAGAAATGATTTATATAAAATGTACAGATGATGTATCATACAATTGTACACTTGAAAATATAATTTTATTAACCAATGTCACCCCAATAAATTTAATTTTAAAAATAAAAAATAAATGTCTAGCATAATGCCTAGTATATGTTATACTTTCAGTTGATTACTATATTAGTATATTAGGTTAATCTTCTATCACCAATTATATAATAGGCTTCTGAAGGGGGTTTTATTTAAGTAGCTCCTAATGGCTAAAATAGAGCTAGGAACATTGCTGATCTTAAATAAAAACCTACTAATTGCTCACAGTTTCTAGTAGGCCACTTTTTTAAGTGCACAGTTCAATAGTGTTAAGTATATTCACACTGTTGTGAAACAGATCTCAAAAACTTGTTCAGTTTGCAACACTCAAAATCTACACTGATTAAATAGCATATCACCTTTCCCTCAATCCCAACACACTGTTAATACCATTCTATACTTGATTTTTTTAATTTAGATATGGTTTTCAAACTTCAGGACTCTAAGAAGATCATAAGTAATATCTGTGTGACTAGAAAATCTTCACCATCTTTTGAAAAATATTTTCAATTAATCAGAAAAAAATAAAATCACATATTCATAAAATAAAAGGTGGGTTCATAATTCAAGAGAGTGGTTCAGATATTTTATTTATGTCAAATACTGAATTTTTACAGTTCTCCATTCTGCTGAACATTTCCTCATAGTTTAAATAAATTATAATAATACAGATAATCAGAGTAAAAGAAAAACTCAAGAGTGTTTTCAACAATACAAGGGTATTTTTGTAAAATAGCATTTAAATTTTTTGCTTAATTGCTCATTATTCCAGTTCATATTGTTTGTATAGTTAATATCATACATTGTATTTGATCGTTTTTTATTATTTTGTTCTCTTTTTGAATTGTAGATACATTTCTTTTTTCCCAACTAAATTTAAAGCTCATTGTGGATAGGGTATATATCTTCATATGTATATAAGACCTTATAAATAATAGAACAGCAAGACCTTCTAAATGCTTGCTAACTTGAATTTATTTGAAGTCCTCCGGGGGATACATGACAATAAAATGTTTGATGTTATTACATTAAGATTTATGTTTCATAGGTTTCCAAAAGAATTAGTCATCAATAATATCAATGTATGTGACTATTTTTATAACTAAGAAAGTTTTTATATGAAAATACCAAAATTGCACTCAATTTTAAAAAAAAAAACTCATAGATCAAATTTCTTTTGGTTTGAATACACATGAAATATAAATATATCTAACCCATTAATAATTTCAAAAATCTAATTTCGAATGAAACCTTCGGCCTTTCGATGCCATCTTGTGACAAATGTAAGGTACTGCAGACCTCTTAAAAGTGAAAGGCAAAGGAAAACAGACTCATGGATATGGATGATAGTGTGGTGAGTGCTGGGGAGAAGGGAGTAAAAGAGGACTAAAAGATAATATAAAAAATACAGTAAAGATTTAATAAAATTAAAAGTGAAAAAAATAAATATAGAACCATAAAATAATGTTCAAATAGTTTCATATTCAACTTTTCTGTTTATGATAAACAATTACTATTCATGATAGTGATAATATATGCTATATGATACTGTGTTATGAATCTAGAATAACTTGCACTCAGAATATTCCAAAATACATCCTTCCTGCCTTGTAATTGACAATGAAACAGAAATGAGAGTCTGAGAGACAGATTAGCAGCCAATCATAATCATCTGTAGAAACAAGCCATTGCTGCTTCTTAAGTTTCTATCAGAAGGTAAGCAGGTTACTTAACCTTTTCTAGAGCTGAGATTCTTGAAACATCCCTAGAACAGCAGCGCCAGCGTCTCCTGGGAACGCATCAGACGTGCAAATTCTCAGACCCCCACTCTAAACTTAATGAATCAGAAGTTTCAGGTGGGAACCAGAAATGTTTTTGTTTTGTTTGTTTGTTTTTGCAAAATCCTACTGGTAATTCTGATCTTGATAAAGTTAGAGAACCACTAATTAGGGCAGAGATTCCCAGGTCAACGTGTGAAATGAGTTACAAGTGTGTTCCTCAGAGTGACTAGATAAGGCCAACAAAGGTCACGATCAGGTTTGCCAATTTACCTCAGTGCAAACGAGGTAAATCTATGATTTCTGCATAACCCAAAAGGAAAAAAACATTTGGAAACCCAAAAGGAGAAAAACACTTGGAAATGCCATGGGCTTCATATTCCTCACCTGTTAACACCCAGTGGATAGCAATATAAGATAAATGGAAGGCATGATGTATGATGTTTGACTCCTGATAAAGACCCTCTGTGCATTAATACTCTTCCCATACTCTTTGGGATATACATGTTGGTTGCTCTTTTTCTGACTAGTGTCTATGTTCCCTCTAAACTTCTAGCTCCAAGTATCCTCATATCCTAACACCCAATTACCTTTCTTTTCTTCTTTTTCTATCTCCTCCCACCCTTGGATTAATAGTTGATTAATCTTTAAAGCTCAGAAAGCCTAAACCTATTCACTTCAAGTAGTAAAGGGAATGACACTTTCACTTGAACACCTTACACACACAGCAACTTAACTTATAAATCAATGATACAGAACTATGGCTCACAAATACAAACACACATACATGCTATGAGATGAGTTTTCACTGCCTGGCTATGAAATATCTAATGTCTATTAGAGGCAAATTCTGTATCAACAGAACAAAATTTAACTTATATGGAAACGAAATAGCAGTTTTATTAATGGAACCTTTTAACCAATAAAGTTAACCACCAAATGCATCTTATTATGAATGTTGTTAAAAATATCTTATAAATGCTATATACCTATAAATCACCATGGTTAGAACCTATTAGTTTTGCTGGTCTTCATAAATATAAAAATGCCTAGTCCTATCATTACAAAGCCATATACAATTCAAAATTATAAGGCATTATTACATTCAATTCTAAATATGCCAAATTGTTCTAAGTAATATAGCAATATAAGATGTAATACTCATGACCCAAAATTGTCACATTACTATGTTTCATTCCACAGTCATCTTTGGTTGAAAGGGAAAAAAAATTTAAGGAAAATAAAAATCTCTCTTTAAATCAATAAAAATGGTAAATGTAATAGCTATGCTGAGTAGTCAAAAAAAAAAAACAAACCAAAATTATGTTAAACACATACAATAATTTAAAAGAATTTAAAGCTCTGAAAACTGATTTTCATCTAAATAGAGGTAATAAATAACAGTAATTTTGAGAAGGGCAAGATTATTAGTTGAAGACTGGTGCTAATGCAACCATAGGTCAAGCTTCTAAGGTACAGCTAACTGTGCAGAGAAAAAAGAATTTACTAAATTCTACCTTTATTCATTGTCAGTCTGCTAATAAATGTGTACATGTGACAGAGAAGAGTGTAAATTGATCACCTTAACCCTGCCAGCTGACTAGGAAACTGTGGAAGAACCCGGCTAGCTGTTAAACTTATTTCCTTTTAGAAATCTACACTTCTCGGTCTCCCTTGTAGTTAGGGATGGCCATGGCCATATGACTACGTTCTGACTAATGGATTATAAAGGGAATGATGTGGGCCATTCTCATGATTATTAGAAAACTCTCAGTTACCATCATGCTTTTCATTCAAGACCTTAGGAAATAAAGGAGTCACACATAAAAGGTAAGCTGGGAACCTGAATGAGCACTTGGAAGAGAGCACTCTGCTGATCAGCCGCACCAGTGTGGACTTGATGTAGGTGAGAAAATAAACATCTACTGCGCTGAGCTATAGAGACTTTTGAGTGTATCTTTTACAATTGATAGCATTTAGCTAATTCAAAATCTTTTCAAAGTACATGTTCTATTGAATGTGTACCATCAGCACAATCTTTGTATGTGAAGAACCATCCATTACTAAAATCAGCATACAAATGTGCTCACTGTTGATCCAGAGCCAGCTTTCACTAAGTCATTAAGAACAAGCTGTACACATTTCTTCCCAACTCTACATTCAATGAAGCAATGTGTGTTGCTTGAAAGCAGCCACAGTGGATGTACTTAGACTATTGAAATTGGAAAAGGCTAAAAATCAGGGCTTTTTCTTACAGAAAGCCAGTCATTAATACTTATTAGCACACCATTGAATATAATGTATCTACTATATTCTACTAAAAGATTAATACTACATTCAGTGTTAGTACATAACTAACAACTTGGATGAAACTGTAACAATTATTTCAGACCATAATATATCTGTTTATTTATAGATGGACAAACAGCTATTAACATCGATTCATTAATTATTCATTCATACAATTAAAAATTAATTCAGACCATTATATATCTATTGATTTATAAATGGACAAAAAACTATTAACATTAATTCATTAATTATTTATTCATTCATACAATACTCATTAAATGCCCGTATATGCCAGACTATACAAAGAGCTGATAAACACAGCTCAACAAACATAGATATTGCTGTGGAGTGTACAGTGTAGTGGGGGAGACAGTAATAAAATAATTACA